AGCCACCGTGCTTCAGGAAGTGCATCAACCTCGAGGAGACCATGAGCTCCATCACTTTACAGACAGGTCAAAGCGATAGGTCTGTAGGAGTCCGGGGACCCGGAGGGCTTACCTGGCTTCAAAAAAGGAAGAACAGGGGGAAAACGGCCCAAATCCCACACAGTGTTATATAAGGCCAAAAGTTCCTCCAAGAAGAGGCCACCTGCATGCTGAAGCAGTGGATACCCCAGTCCATCCCTCCCAGGGCAAGTATCCCTCCCAGATGGAGCAGCCAATTTCAGTTCGTCCATGGAAAAATAGAGATTCAAGTTACAGGGTACGTCCCCAGCTCCCCACATATCAGCCGCATGTCACGTTCCGTGTCCTTGTCTCCTGTGTCCCCTCATAGTTCCCCTCCATGTTATGCCATTTGTTCTGATTAGGTATTTTATCCCCCAGCCTTTAAGTGTATTTTGTTGTATAACACTTTAGTTTATTTATCTTTGGTCTCCTCTGTCCTTATTTCTACAGTATTTAGGTTCAGTAACTTTTGTTTTACAGGTGTTGGTTTTGATTTCCCCCCGCTTGGTTCTGCTTCTCCTCTCAGTTTAATAGTCCCACCTTTGCCCACTTCCCTTAATCACTCAGCCCTGTGCAGTTAAGTCTTGTCTTCTGTGTTTGTTGGTTCATTAATTTGCCCCTCGTTGTCATGTTAGCATTTAATTTTCTAAGCCACATGCAGAATCAGAGCTGGGAGACAAGGTAAGAAATAGTAATAATATTTATTAAACAAGGTGATGACAGGTGAGGCACTCTCGAGGAAGCTCTGATGTACGGGAGCAGAATCTAATGGGAGAAAATCAGGAAGGGGAGGAAAACGGCAGTTGGGAGAGTAAATGGTGCAAACTGATGCAGTCTTGCTTTATGGTCGAGAGGTGTAGATGCAGAGGAGAGGGTAGGTCTGGCCTGAGGGGGAGAGGAGCTCAAAACAGGGTCCAAGCCTTCTAGACGAGGAATGAAGACAATGAGGAGTCCAAACATTAAGCGAGGCAGGCGGGGGGTCGGCTGGCTGAGCAGATGAGACGATGTGGAGAAGAGATCCGTTGGTTATGGCTGGAGAGATGATGTAGAGTGATATCTGCAATAGCAATCACTAGAGGCACAAAAAACAAACATGCACAAAGATAGCGACAGAGCTCGAGACTAGGTCGTATACCCTAACGAGTTAATCATCCGACGTCATGTAGGTCTCAGACTGCTCCTCATATAGCCAGCCGGTGATTGCAGCTGAGTGGCTGCAGCAGGGCTGCTCTCTGGTGCCGCCCACCTGCAGGAGAAGGGTTAGTGTGGGGAACGATATACCTCAGGCCATGACAGTACCCCCGTCTCAAGGGGCGTCACCCGGCGGCCCCGAGGAGGAGGAGGAGGAGGCACGAGAAGCCTCGAAATCCCACACCAACTACTGGTCATCAATCCAGGAACAGGGAATCCATTGCCGGTGTTCAGGTCCATAGCCCTCCCAGTTGACGAGATACTGGAACCCCCGACCCCGGGAGCGGACGTCCAGGAGACGTCGGACCTTGTACCCCAAGCCCCCACTTGCGAGCTGGACCGGAGCTGGAGGGTCAGCCGGAGGAGACAGCGGGCTTGACTCGATGGGCTTGAGCAGTGATACATGAAAAACCAGGTGGATTTTCAGGGACAAGGGGAGGCCGAGTCGGACAGAGGGGGGGTTGATGACGGCCGAGATGGTGTAGGGGCCTATGAACCTAGGTGACAACTTCTTGCAAACACCTTTGATAGAAATATCTTGTGTGGAGAACAAAACCTGTTGACCGGGAGTGTAGGAGGGCGCCGGCCGCCTATGCCGGTCTGCCAGACAGCGGTTGCGATCAGCAGTCCTTTGCAATGCGGCCCTCGTGTGCGTCCAGATGCAACATGCATCTTGAATGAACCGTGGGATGGAGACCGGTGACTCAGATGGAGAGGTTGGGAACAGAGGGGGTTGATAACCGAGTGTGATCTCAAACGGAGAGTAGATCGTGGAGGAGGAGGTGTGGACGTTGTGTGCATACTCGATCCAGGGAAGATGCTGACACCAACTAGAGGGGTTAGAAGAACACACACAACGCAACATGGCTTCCAGCTCTTGATTCATGCGTTCGCACTGACCATTAGTTTGGGGGTGGTATCCTGAACTGAGTGTGACTTGGGCTCTCAGGCTAGCAGCAAAGTCCTTCCAGAGTCGCGACAGGAACTGGGGACCACGGTCAGATACAATCTCCGTCTGGGTGCCATGGAGCCTGAAGACTTGCTTTACCAAGAGCTGGGCCGTTTCGGTGGAGCTGGGAAGGTGCTTGAGGGGTACAAGATGACAGGCCTTAGAAAAGCGGTCCACAATGGTCAATATCACACTCATACCTTGAGATGGGGGAAGACCAGTCACAAAATCTAGAGAAATATGTGACCAGGGTCTAGACGGAGTGGGAAGGGGTCAAAGTAGCCCCAACGGAGCTCGTGTGCTGCTTTTGTTTCGAGCACAGGTGTGGCAGGCCAAGAGGTACTTCCTGACGTTGCAGTACATGAGGGGCCACCAATAGGTTCGGCGTAAGAGGGTCAGTGTTCTACCAACCCCTGGGTGGATGGAGAACCTCGCTGTGTGAATCCAGTGTATTAGAGAACCCCTGCAAGAAATCGGAACATAAGTCTTATTGGGAGGCACAGTACCTGGACCAGGGTCATTCTTGCGGGCCTCCTCAATCTTCTCTTGGATCTCCCAGCTTACGGTCCCAATAATGACTGAGGGAGGAAGGATGGTTGAGGGCTCTGTGTTGGTGTCTGAAGAGAACTGCCTTGATAATGCGTCCGGCTTAGTGTTTTTGGATCCGGGTCTGAAAGAAATCACAAAGTTGAATCTGGAAAAGAACACAGACTACTTGGACTGGCGAGGGTTAAGCCTCTTGGCTGTCTTTAGGTATGAAAGGTTCTTGTGATGAGTCCAGACTATGACTGGGTGCTTGGAACCCTCCAACCAGTGTCTCCATTCTTCAAAAGCCATCTTGATGGACAGCAGTTCCCGATCTCCCACATAATCATAATTGTATTCTGCAGGCGTCAGGCGACAGGGAAAAAAAGCACAAGGGTGCAACTTGTTGTCTGAGAGGCAGATCTGAAATAAGACTGTTCCCACCCCGGTGTCAGAAGCGTCCACCACTAGGGTAAATTGCCTCGAGGGATCAGGACGGGCGAGTACTGGGGCGTTGGTGAAGAGGAACTTGAGTTCAGAAAAAGCAGCAGCAGCAGCAGAAGGGTTCCAAATGAAGGGCTTGTTTATGGAGGTCAATGCTGTGAGGGGTTCAGCATTTCGGCTGTAGTTCCTTATAAACCTGCGATAGAAATTGGCAAAACCCAAGAACCGTTGCAGCTGTTTCCGGGTAGTTGGTACAGGCCAATCCAGCACTGCCTGAACCTTCTCAGGGTCTGCTCTCAGCCACCCGCTCTCAATGATGAACCCCAGGAAACTCATGGATGGAGCGTGGAACTCGCACTTCTCCCCTTTTACATATAGTCGGTTCTCCAAGAGTCTCTGTAAGACAGCTCATACATGTTGACGGTGCTCCGACGTGGTTCTTGAGAAGATGAGTATATCATCAAGGTAAACTGTTACAAATGTATCAATGAAGTCGGCCAGCACAGAGTTCACCAGTGCCTGAAATACAGTGGGGGCACTAGTTAACCCGAAAGGCATCACATGATACTCAATAGCGCCACCGGTCCCTCCGACCACCACCAGCAGGCAAGGTGGGTTGAGTGTCGTGCCCAAGGACACAACGGCAGAATTCTCTGTCCGTGTTTAAATCTCAAGTTTGAATAATGTGTCCTATACGTTACATTAATGAATGATGGGTTAAAATGAATAGTTTTTCTGCAATGATTCATTTCACATCTTAAATTACACCAGATTAGTGTTTGTGGATTTGAATTATGTTAATCTATCAGTATATTCACACACAATAAAATCATAATTTATGTTTTCATTTTTGCTTCACACTAAGATCAACCTCTAAGTATCTGGGTGAAGGCGTGATTGCCTCAGGTATTTTGGTAACACCCTTTAAACTAGTCTAAGTTTGTCAGCAGCAGGTCATAAAGGTTTGGTCACTTCCTGATCTAGCCAGTTCTAGCCAGCCTCCCGGTTCGGCCAACTGGGTGAGCAAGCACTTGGAACCATTCTCTCTTTTGATCCCAAGGTCAAAGCCTCTCTGCAACTCTTGCGAGTGATATCAGATGCTGCAACACCTCAGACGTGGAACGTCTAACCTGCAGACCCTGGTTGCATCTCATGCACGGATTAGAAATCTGAATTCAAATAAAACTACAACTCTCTGGGATTCTTGTAGGCTCGACGTCCGTTAAAATCTCCACTCGGGCTGCCTTTGCTCCGGACCGCCGATGAGCAGCCATCACACACGGGTATCGTAGACTCTGCACGATGGTGTCGGATGGTTTTATCATAATCTCTAGCTTATTAAACCAAATAACCAAACTGATTTCACAACCCGGACATCAAAAGATCTCTCAGATACTTAACGAGGTTTTGCTACAAACATCTAGCTTCCATCATTTCCTTCACACTTTGTCCTGTATGATCATTAGTTCAGAAGTATAGCATTAAATTCATTTTCATAAACTACATACTTGATTCTGTCTGAATTAATATGAAGTATTTGTTCCCGGAATAGTGAAAGAACCTAAAGGTAATAGAAAATCTAACATTCAAAGACCAATCAGATAGAACATTCATGTTTACTACGGAATAGCACATCTTATCGATCCTTTAGTAATATGTAACATTAATCCACCACAGTGAGTACTTATGTTTAAGTGGACAATTTGCTGTTTCGGGTTAGGCATAACTTAACGACTGGAAATAGATGGAGGTCCTCACTAGGATAGACAGACAAGTGTTTGTGTGTGTGTGTGTGTGTGTGTGTGTGTGTGTGTGTGTGTGCGCGCCAAACCTGGAAGCACGAAAGACCTGCTGATGGGGAACATTACAGGTGAGAACGGCCCAGCTCCTTAGATACATGAGACCAATCAGCTTCAGCACGTTAAAGGCAGGAAGGCATGGAGAGAAGAACGCTCCCATCCTGTTGAAAGGAGCACACACACACACACACACACACACACACATAGACGGGGGTTACCAGGGTTGCACCCCATTATAAAAGACATTAAACTCAGAAGATCATGGTTTCACTTCATTGTGTTTATGGAGGAAAGACGACATCTACAACAATTTGTTGGCACTCACAGGGCCAGAGAGGTGGAGCATCCTCCCACATTAGTTACTCACAGTAGCCACTCTATTAGCTGTGCACACTTACCAGATCATGCCTTGGTTATAAATCAAATGAAGGACATTCTCTGCTATTTTGAATTCTCCATATTCAGGCTGAAAAAAATACATAAAAACACGTTTTAATTCATTCTCTTTGTGTGTGTGTGTGTGTGTGTGTGTGTGTGTGTGTGTGTGTGTGTGTGTGTGTGTGTGTCAGATTTTTGAAAACAGGGTTATTTAACCCTTTAACTGGCAGGTCAGCTGCTTCATAGAGCACATTTTAGTCCTACAACACTGTAGACACAGGAGGAGAGTAAGTATTTAAACAACTTAGAATTCTGCAAGTTTTCCACTTAGAAATCACGGAGAGGCCTGAAATCCGCATTGCAGGTGCATTCCCACTGTGAGAGACTCGGCTCTTCTAGCAGAGGCCCGGGGGCTTGAGGGTCCTGCAGTATCTTAGCTGGTCCCAGATCTGCTCTTTTCTGGACTGAGATGTCTGAGGTTTTCCTGGGATTTGCTTTAGCTACTCCTCCGGTCTGACGGCTACTGCCCCGAGTGTCCCGATGACCACGGGAGGTTTTTCATTTACTGTACGTACTTTCAAAAGTGTTACCAGATACTTGAAGTGATTGTGACATTGAGGGAAAGTGTGGCAGTGATCATCAAAGGTCATTACTTACAAACTTGCTCTCCAAGTCCCAGCAGCAGCAGTCACTCAGATAGCGAACCACCAGACCTCTGATGAAGTCTATGAGTAAGATGCTGGCCACTGTGAAGATCATGTCAATGATGGACAGCTTCAACATTTCCTGGAATCAGACCAGAAACGTCCCTATTCAGAGACGATGCTCCTGTAATGTGGTTTACAGTAGTGTAGATGACTTTAATGGCTGACAGTATACTGTATGGACAAGGAGTTGATGGTGTCCCATCATCTCCACAGGGCCTTACAGTACACACACCAACTGTAAATCACTGCTTCTAAACTGGATAGGTACATGAACGCTATGGGAACTAAACTAGTTGGTTGTCCTTGAGTTAACATTGACAGAAGGAAATAGTCCGGTCTGAATCCCCAAACCTGGAGGAGGAACCACAAACACACCTTCTGTCATAGTGATGCATCTGATAACGCTGGTTCTCTATAGCAAGGTTGCAGGGTTGAAACCCAGCTCTCCAGGCATGCGTTGTTGCAGGGTTTCTCCCCACAGACCAAGGCATGCATGTCAGGTTAAGTGCAGTATCTAGATGTGAGTGAGTGAGTGAGTGAGTGAGTGAGTGAGTGAGTGAGCCCCGTTCACATGTACTTGTGTTTCTGTGCTTTGGCCTGTCACCCACACAAAGTGAGCATATAAGGCACCAAAAACAGTTCTTTCAAAACTCACACCAGAGGGGACATTTGCTAATTCTCCACTGTAAGCCAACCAACATGCTCCGACATCCCAAGTCCGACTTGTGTTTTTCCAAGCTCAGTCACTGCTCTGTGTAGAAGAGCACAGGCGAAGGACGCCCTTATGCCTACCACTCTCGGTATTCCACATTCAAGGGAGGGTAGGAAACTTCCCGGCAAACATGCTCATCGGGGCTCAGTGTCAGATCTCTTTGGGCAAAACTTTGGCCCCCAGTGGGGCTCACTGCCACTGAAAAGGCGGGCACATGTGTTTCCCATCATATGGGGTCATGATGGAGCCCAACAGGGCGTGGCCTGTGTATGTGGGCTGCCCCCGTGGCCCGTTTCTCTGGGGCACTCGCATGTCACGGCGGTACCCTGGCCTGCACATATGGGCATCTTGCTTCTTACCATTCATTAATATCAACAATGTCATGAAGTGCTATTCATGTCACCCAAAGTGCCTTCCATTCTCACACATTCAAACACTGCTAGTGACCGTAGAGGGTCAAGAGTCTTGCCCAAGGACACAAAGACTGCGACAGACTGAGAAGGACTCGATCCCACAAACCTTCAGTAACCAGCTGGGCGCTTAACTCCTTTTCCACGGCTGATAAGCAGTGATGTGTAAACTCTAAATGACATGGTGCCCTGTCACTCCCTCCCTCGGGGTTAGTATGGGACAGAGACATGTCCAATGTTTAACTGTGTTTCCAAAGCTACAGAGAGCACAAGCCTGCGGTTAGTCAGCATGCCACTTCCTTTAAATTCATCAACAGCAACGCCATCAAAACGTGCTGAAGATAACCCGGAGCAGACATGGAGCAGATCAAACAAAGGGAGGAGTCAGACAGTTGAACATCTAAACACCTTCCCTGAAGGAGTACAAAGATGCACAGAAGACTTTTGATTTGTGGAAGACATTGTTGGGAAATGCGAGTGACATCCATCAGTGCATGTGCATGACTGCACCTGAGCTCAAGGTACAGACTAAACTAGTTTTAGAGATAAGAAGAGAAACCTGTCCAACGTAAGTCTCCCAACACTGGTCCTGCTGGGATCGTGCATTCTTCTCAAAAGGAGCCGTCTGGTTGTAGATGCTCCCTGAATGGCCCCTGTTATTGCTGGTAACGTTCAGAGCTGTGGTCATTGTTGCCACAGTGATGTTGTGATGCTCAAAAGCAGAGATCTTTGACATGCGGGTTGACAGACTGTGTGTCTCAGACTGGGATGTAGAAACCAGGAGGGAGATAGGGTCAGACCAGTTAGCCGAACTTCCCTGATGCTGGAAGATAAATATAAACAGATGAAAGTCAAAAAAATTAGAATATTGTGCAACAGTGCAACAACACTAGAGCATGATATATATATATATATATATATATATATATATATATATATATATATATATATATATGTATATATATATACATATATATATATATACATATATATATATATATATACATATATATATATCACATGTGAGGTACAGGAGTGAACGTAGCAGAGGGCAATATTTTCAGTTCTAGCCCCTCACAAATTGATGCCTTAGTTCATCATGTTAATTCCTCTTTACGTGTGGCATTAGATGATGTTGCCCCTTTAAAAAAGAAGGTAATTAGGGACAGGAAGTTGGCTCCCTGGTTTAATTCTCATCTACGAGCCTTAAAACAAAACTCTAGGAAACTGGAGAGAACATGGCGCTGTACGCACCTTGAGGAGGCCTACCTGTCCTGGAAAAATAGTCTTGTGCTTCATAAAAATAAGCTTCGACAAACTAGAACTGCTTATTATTATTATTATTATTATTATTTAAAGATGCATTTCCTTTGGTTACTGCCCCCATTCTAGATATAATCAATCTATCCTTAGTAAATGGGTATGTACCACAGGATTTTAAGGTTGCTGTAATCAAACCTTCACTTAAGAAGCCTTCTCTGGATCCAGATGACCCAATGAATTATAGACCAATATCTAACCTTCCATTTTTATCCAAAGTCCTGGAGAAAATAGTGGCCATCCAAGTATGTGAGGATATAGACACAGCAGTCTGTTTCTCACCCCTCCCACACAGATTAACATCCAAGATCCCTTCTGTATCTCCTTCCTCCCACCCTCAATCCTATTCCAAGCAGATGCAAACACAGGTGTAGTAGGCACAAAGAAGACGGAAACGCCATCAAAGGAGCCAACGAGAGAAGCAGGATGGCGGCAGCATTCCGGGAACCAACACATGGCACCAAGAGGAGGCACGAGAAGCACCAGGTAGCCACAACCAATCGCTGCCCCCGGGGCAGTCGGCCCCCACAGAGGAAACACTGGTTTACTAATGAGTTTAAGATGAGTTAAGAATCAAATTAAGCATAAACACCCGATAAATTAAAATCTAAATAAAATAAACTGATAAAAGATAACCAAGTAGAAAAATATAATTAAATATATAAAAATATTGTACTACACATTAATACTGGTTAAAAAAATAATTATTACAGGTTAAAACAAGGTAAAATTAATATAATGAAGATATGTGTCAATTAGGTAAAAGAGTAATAAAACACTGATAAAAGATGGTACAACAGACTAAAATAGATCAAAATCAACTAAAAGCTATAATAAAAAGGTAAGTCTTGAGCCTGGCCTCAAAAACAAGAACACAGATAAGAAGGCCCAAGACCATTAAGACATTTAAAAACCATTAAAATAAACCTTCAAATCGACCCTGAAATGTACAGGAAGCCATTGAAGCTTGTTTAAGACAGGTGTAATGTGTTCCTGCCTCCTGGTCTTCGTCAGTACACGTGCTGGTGAATTTTGTAGAATTTGTAAACCTGAGGTACAAACTCTCGTCTCTGCTTTTTGCGGATGATGTGGTCCTCCTAGCTTCATCCAGCTCTGACCTTCAGCTCTTGCTGGGTGGGCTCACGGCCGAGTGTGAAGCGGCTGGGATGAGGATCAGCACCTCCAAATCTGAGACCATGGTTCTCGATCGGGAAAGGGTGGCTTGCCAACTCCAGGTCGGGGGAGAGGTCCTACCTCAAGTGGAGGAGTTTAAGTATCTCGGGGTCTTGTTCACGAGTGAGGGTAGGAGGGATCGGGAGATCGACAGGCAGATTGGTTCGGCGTCTGCAGTGATGCGGACGCTGAGCCGATCTGTCGTGGGGAAGAGGGAGCTGAGCCAGAAATCCAGGCTCTCGATTTACCGGTCGATCTACGTCCCAATCCTCACCTATGGTCATGAGCTTTGGGTAATGACCGAAAGAACGAGATCGCGGATACAAGCGGCCGAAATGAGTTTCCTCCGTAGGGTGGCCGGGCTCAGCCTTAGAGATAGGGTGAGGAGCTCGGACATTCGGGAGGGACTCGGAGTAGAACCGCTGCTCCTCCGGATCAAAAGGAGCCAGTTGAGGATGTTTGGGCATCTGGTCAGGATGCCTCCTGGACGCCTCCCCGGGGAGGTGTTTCGGGCATGTCCTGCCGACAGGAGGCCCCCGGGTCGACCCAGGACACGTTGGAGAGGTTACATCTCCAATCTGGTCCGGGAACGCCTTGGGGTCCTGCCGGAGGAGCTGGTGGACAAGGCCGGGGAGAGGACGGTCTGGAGCTCCCTAGTTGGGATGCTGCCCCCGTGACCCGGCCCCGGATAAGCGGAAGAAGACGACGACGATATATTATATACATATATATATATATATATATATATATATATATATATATACATATATATATATATATATATATAAGTTCTCCCACTTAAAATGATGACAGAGGTCAGTAATTTACATCACAGGTACACTTCAACTGTGAGAGACAGAATGTAAAAAAAAATCCATGAATTCACATGGCAGGATTTTTAAAGAATTTATTTGTAAATCAGGGTGGAAAATAAGTATTTGGTCACTTCAAACAAGGAAAATCTCTGGCTCTCACAGACCTGTAACGTCTTCTTTAAGAAGCTTTTCTGTCCTCCACTTGTTACCTGTATTAATGGCACCTGTTTGAACTCATTATCTGTATAAAAGACACCTGTCCACAGCCTCAAACAGTCAGACTCCAAACTCCACTATGGCCAAGACCAATGAGCTTTCGAAGGACACCAGGAAAAGAATTGTAGACCTGCACCAGACTGGGAAGAGTGAATCTACAATAGGCAAGCAGCTTGGTGTGAAAAAAATCAACTGTGGGAGCAATTATCAGAAAATGGAAGACATACAAGACCACTGATAATCTCCCTCGATCTGGGGCTCCACGCAACATCTCATCCCGTGGGGTCAAAATGATCATGAGAACGGTGAGCAAGAATACCAGAACCACACGGGGGACCTGGTGAATGACCTGCAGAGAGCTGGGACCACAGTAACAAAGGTCACCATCAGTAACACACTACAACGGCAGGGAATCAAATCCTGCAGTGCCAGACGTGTTCCGCTGCTGAAGCCAGTGCATGTCCAGGCCCGTCTGAAGTTTGCCAGAGAGCACATGGATGATACAGCAGAGGATTGGGAGAATGTCATGTGGTCAGATGAAACCAAAGTAGAACTTTTTGGTATAAACTCAACTCGTCGTGTTTGGAGGAAGAAGAATACTGAGTTGCATCCCAAGAACACCATACCTACTGTGAAGCATGGGGGTGGGAACATCATGCTTTGGGGCTGTTTTTCTGCTAAGGGGACAGGACGACTGATTCGTGTTAAGGACAGAATGAATGGGGCCATGTATCGTGAGATTCTGAGCCAAAACCTCCTTCCATCAGTGAGAGCTTAGAAGATGAAACGTGGCTGGATCTTCCAACACGACAATGATCCCAAACACACCGCCCGGGCAACAAAGGAGTGGCTCCATAAGAAGCATTTGAAAGTCCTGGAGTGGCCTAGCCAGTCTCCAGACCTCAACCCCATAGAAAATCTGTGGAGGGAGTTGAAAGTCCGTGTTGCTCGGCGACAGCCCCAAAACATCACCGCTCTCGAGAAGATCTGCATGGAGGAATGGGCCAAAATACCAGCTACTGTGTGTGCAAACCTGGTAAAGACCTATAGTAATCGTTTGACCTCTGTTATTGCCAACAAAGGTTATGTTACAAAGTATTGAGTTGAATTTGTTATTGACCAAATACTTATTTTCCACCCTGATTTACAAATAAATTCTTTAAAAATCCTGCCATGTGAATTCATGGATTTTTCTTCACATTCTGTCTCTCACAGTTGAAGTGTACCTATGATGAAAATTACTGACCTCTGTCATCATTTTAGGTGGGAGAACTTGCACAATCGGTGGCTGACTAAATACTTTTTGCCCCACTGCATATATATATATATATATAAAATAAATAGGGCCTATGGTTAAAATCTGATAGGCCCATGTATATATGCACACATACACACACACACACACACACACACACACACACACACACACACACACACACACACACACATATATATATATATATATATATATATATATATATATACATATATAGATATATGATTGGCTGGGAATCAATTAAAATAAATTTACTAATTAATCAAAAATCTGAGAAAAGTTTATCACAATTAATTAGAATTATTTTCCAGATAAAGTAAGCAGTAAACATGCAAAAATCTACAAGAGAGGTTCAATTTATTTAGAAATTGCATAACTTGTTGAAGCGTGTAAAATCCCTGAATACTGTCTTTAACAGAGAAAACCTAAAATGAAATCCAGTTTCTGTTCAGAAACATTGTTTGAAAAAGTCTATTTAGAAAACAGTGAACAGGAAATAAATCTAGCACAGTTAGCTTATATTATTCTATGTAAATGTCATTTTCCACATCATCAGTCGAACTAGGATTGCCAACTCCCCAAAAACAAAAAAGGGACACCTCCCTGGCATGGCCCCCAAATGCTTTGATACGGCCCTGGGTTGGACGGAGTTTTGAAGGTGATCTGAATTGTATGGAATATATGAATATTATGAGCTTATAAATAGAATTTACTTTATAACGTTAAAACATGTAGGGGGATAATCTACCTCCATTTTCCTTTCCAAGATCTTTTTGTTTTCTTATCATCTGACCGTTATCCTGTCCTTCTGTTTCTGGTCCTGCATCTGCCACAGTAGCACGTATTTTACACGATGGTCTAGCAAACCTTCTTTGATGGTCAGATTGTTTTAAGAATAACCTCATTACATGTGCATCTAGTAGTTTTTACGTCTGTCAGTCACTTGTTTCTTGCTGCTTTCTGAATATGGGTACTTTAGTTGTTTATGTCATACTTAGGTTGTATTCCTCTGCTTGACCTTTAACCTTTGACCTTTAAGAGCTCTTCCTCAGCATAACTTTGTTTCCTGAAGTATGAACATTGCAGACAAATGACATTTTTATATGTCCATCTCCTGTTTAGAACGTCTATTCCTGAAACAATTATTATGTTTTCAAACCCTTTTAGGTTGGTGTGAACTGAGATAAGCAGCAGTTGTTGTATTGCACGTTCACCGTCTCTATGTGACAAATGAGTTTTACTCTCCTTCACTTACGGAGTTTTACATTAGCAGTATTTATCTCCTGCTGACAATTATCAGGCAATATTAGAATACCATTAAACATCATTAATGTACTCTGAAACACTCTTATTATACTGAATCTGTTTGAAGTAGAGAATTAATTCTATAATTATGACTGGTACCAGTGTTGGTTCACTCCAGTGTTAGAAGCAAAGAAATACAAAAAGAGTCACTTGGTTAAATGATAAATGATAAAAGAGCCGCAGTTGTGTAGCGCCTCTCAGAGTAAGGACTCCAAAGCGCTTTACACTACAGTGTATCATTCATCCATTCACACACACATTCACACACTGAAGCCGAGCAGAGGCGCTACCGGACCCTCCGACCACCACCAGCAGGCAAGGTGGGTTAAGTGTCTTGCCCAAGGACACAACAGCAGAATTCTCTGTCCGGAGCCGGGATCGAACCTGCAACCTTACAATTACTGGACAACCCGCTCAGCTGGTTGAGCTACTGCTGTCCTGTTTTGGTTTTGGTCACATTCCCTAATGTAGCTGTGCTGGTGTAAATAAGGTGAACGTTCCTGGGAGAGGGAGAGACAAACACACTGAGCCTGTGACTTTTACCACCATCTGAGCTTGTGGATGCTTGTCGAGCTCCTTTACTTCCCCGATGGGTTAATTCTTTTTGATTTCGTAAGAATACAATCGTCTGTGACGGCTCTTCTACAGCGATTTCTCCTGTAATTATAGGTGATGTGGATCACTTTTTGTGTTTTGTTTTATGCACACTGTGCTGCACGACTCTGCCCCCTGCTGATGTAACCTGGTAATTGCAAGTTCCTTGGGATGAGTGTTTTTGGCTTTTAGAGGTGACATGTTATGCGAGATCCAACTTTTGCATCGTTTTGCGCTGCCTTGTCGTTCTTGGCTGCCTCTTTTGACATTCTACTACTAAACCAGTGTTTCCTCTGTGGGGGCCGGCTGCCCCGGGGGCAGCGATTGGTTGTGGCTACCTGGTGCTTCTCGTGCCTCCTCTTGGTGCCATGTGTTGGTTCCCGGAATGCTGCCGCCATCCTGCTTCTCCCGTTGGCTCCTTTGATGGCGTTTCCGTCTTCTTTGTGCCTACTACACCTGCGCTCAGCCAGCTTCACTTTCTCGTGTGTGTGTGTGTGTGTGTGTGTGTGTGTGTGTGTGTGTGTGTGTGTGTGTGTGTGTGTGTGTGTGTGTGTGTGTGTGTGTGTGTGTGTTGGGAGGAGGGGGATGTGTGTGTGTGGGGGGGGGGGGCACCGACTGCTGTGTGGTTGTTTTTAATATTGTAAAGCGCTTTGATCTGCATTTGTATGAGAAGCGCTTCATAAATAAATTTGATTTGATTTGATTACTGTCGTTGGCCTTGCGTGCGTCATAGCCTGCCGGCAGAACGAGGGAGTCACAGGGAGGAGCGCGCTCCAGCACCCCCCCTCCAAGGACTGCAGAAAGGATGGGTGGTCTGTGTTGCAGTCTGGTGCATGAACACAAAGCACACACACAGGCAGAGGGAGGCTGCCCTCTTGCTGACTGGCGTAAGCCCTAATGTGCGGGCACCGAGATAAAGATAACGTGTGTACTTACAGCAGAGTTCATGCTGTTCACTTTATCCAGGAGAGCGATGATCAGGCTGTAGAGGTTTCCCAAGTATAACACCAGCACTCTGTGGATGTCCAACACACAGCATGTGAACATGACAGCCATATCACACGTGTGTTATATACAGTCAGCTCATAGATGGCTCCCACCTCACTCAGTAAGGTTTCATGTGTGGGTGGGGTTGATTGTAAGGCTAGTGAGAATAGAATCATGTTATGAGCACACGCTCATCCATGCAGAAGGTGCCTAGCCAGTACCTAGCCAGCTGGAACCTCAGTGAGGTTCTTGGGTGGTACATCTCCAGCTGAGCCACCAGCTCGAAGGCAGAGGGCGCGATCATGGTGATGAGCGACACTACGACACTCACCTGCAGAGACACAAGGTTCACGAGTTACGTTTGGTCTGACAGTGTCCACGGCACAAGTCATGTGACAATAAGCCAGAGAAGCTAGAGGCTGGTCCCGACAGACGACATGTCGTGTCCACCAGCACCATCACATGTCGGATAATCTAATGAAAGTAGAAATGATGATGATGATGTCAGTCCTACGTCTTCACCTCGTTCTTTTCCCACAGTGTTAGCTCCGCCTTCTCCTGCTCCAGTTTCTGGGAACGGTCCACCACAAAGTAGATGATGTAAATGCTTCCGGCTAAGGACAGCAGCACCAGTATGTTGGCTAATATCCGCAGACTGATCAGAACTGCCCTGAAGAAGAAGAAGAGTTGGGTGCGATCAGTTTAGGGAGCAAAGAGGAGCCTTTCTGCCCCCCGTCCTATTTACACGAGTCCACTTTTTCACACCATATAATACGGTGACCATATTTCCATTTCCAGAAAAGAGGACAGGAGATCTATCGATGACGTCACACTAGGGCCAGGTGATATGGCCTAAAATCAATATCAAGATGTATTGAGGATTTAACCTCGATAACGATAAATGGACGATAGCTACAGGTATGCGCAGAGACAACAGTTGTCCACTAGATGGGGCTGTCACGTGTATTACATTGACTCACATTTTTACATGACTCAAGGTGGTACAGCTTCTTAAAGAGACATGAACGTTACCAACCTACACACATCTTTTCATTTTTGATTATCAATTTTATTGACATGGAAAAATTATCCCGATAAGAGTCAGAAATTTCTATAACGATACATTTTTGATTTATTGCCCAGCCCTACGTCCCACTATGGCAAAACCACACAAACCACGTTGGGACTCATAGTGTTAGAACTAAAATTAATATCAGATTCTGCCAATAAAAGGGCTCTAAAACAATTTGTATGTAAATATTTAGCATACTTATAGCAAAATCTCGTTTTTCTGCTGGTTTAGTGCTGCAGCAACATTATATTAATAAGAAGTTATTATACCTTTGGTTTTACTACAGCGTCGGTACGCTTCCTCTGGACAGATTATTAAGAAAGCGTTGTTTCAGCTGTGAGATTAGACGATACAGTAAAATGAAAAAAAAAGTTGTCACAGACTCCATGGAAACTTTCAGAGGATTCACAAAAAGTGGCTTTCAAATGGTTTTGTTACCAGATTTTTGTGAGTTTAGAAAAGAAGAAGATGAGACGGCGTGTCCGACAATTTTGTTTTTCGTCGGACAACATTAGAACATGTCAGTGATGTCTGAGGTGTTTTCACAAACACTGTATAACTAACACCACTGGACAGGGTAGGAATTACACAGAGGCTTCTGGGGAGCCCAGTGATGTGGGGGTTCTGTTTGGCCTTGGACCCCAAAATGCCTTGAAACGGCCCTGGGTGTGTGACTGAGTTTTGAAGGTGATCTGAATTGTATCAGATGTATAAATATGACATGTGTGTAACTTCCATGCTGTCGTTCTTTTTTTAAAACACAGAGCAGTTCTGTTTACCTGTTTTCCCGCTACGTTTCGTTTGTGGCTGCAAACTTCTTCAGGCTGACGCTGATGGTGGCGCGTCACTTCCTTCTCCGTTTATCCGCGGGCAGCAGAGGACGTTGTCGCCCTCTACTGCCCGCTCTCCCCTCTCCGACGATGCAGTCCCATGCGTGGTCCAGCGTGTAAACTCCGTCGTCCCTGTTCATGGTCCCACATCCACGTCTCCTTATCTCGATTGCTTCCTTGATCCATCTTTTGTATTTTTGTTGTTCGGTGGTTATGATCCGTGTGTTGTCCCAGTCCATTATATGGTTTTCTCTTAAGCAATGATCTGTTACGGCTGACTTCTTTATTGTACTTTCTGCTTCTTCTTTTGCTGCTCTTGTGTGTTTTCGACTTGCCTCTTTCTCACACTCCTTTCTATGTTCTATTGTTCGTGTATTGAGTTGGCGTCCGGGTTCTCCTACGTATGTTTTATTGCAGAGTTTGCATGGGATTTCGTAGATGACTCCACATTTAAGTCCAGCTGGTATTTTGTCTTGTGGGTGCACTGGTCTGTTTCTAACTGTTGTGTATGGCTTTGTTGGTGTGTTTATGTTGTGTTTTTTCATTGTTGCTCTTATTTTTTCCGTTATGCCTCTGATGTATGGTAGGGTTATCACTGGTTCTGGTTCTTGTCTTTCTGGGTTTCTGGTTCTTTGCTTAGGTTGTTCTTTTCTTTCTGTTGTTGTTTGTTGTTTTCCTTTGTTTATTGCCCATGTCGGGTATCTGCAGGTCTTTAAAGCGTGTTGTATGTGTTTGTCCTCTTGTTTACGGTCTCTCTCTTCTGTTACCATGTTTGCTCGGTGATATAATGTTCTGATTACTGACATGTTGTGTATGGTGGGGTGTTCTGATGTCCATAATAGATATTGGTCTGTGTGTGTTGGTTTCCTGTATGTGTTTATGTTTAGGGTCCCGTCGGTCTGCCTGCTTATGTTCATATCCATAAATGCTATGCTGCCTTCTGTTTCTAACTCATAAGTGAATTTTATGTTGCTCGTGTCGTCAATATTGTTTAAGTGTTGTGTTAGTGTTTCTGTTTGTCCTGTTGGTATGATTTCCAGTATGTCGTCTACGTAGCGTTTCCATAGTTTTATTTTACAGTTTGGGGGGGGGGGGTGGCTATGGCTTTTTGTTCCAGGTCTTCCATGAAAAACTGGCACAGGGTGGCTGATAACGGGTTACCCATGGCGAAGCCTTCCAGTTGTTTGTATATTGTGTTGTCGTATGTGAAGTAAGTGGAGTTAGCTACCAGTCCTATCAGTTGTGCTATGTCGTCTGCTGTGAGGTTTGTCCTTTTGTGTAAAGTCTTGTCTTGTCTGATTCTGTTAACTACTATGTCTATGGTTTTTTGGGTTGGTGTTGTTGTGAACAGAGATGTGACGTCATGTGAGATGAGTATGTCGTTGTCTTCTATTGTAATCTCCTTTAGTTCTTTTTCCAGTTCTATACTATTTTTGCAGTGTTGGTCTGTATTTCCTAATAACGGGCTGATGATTCTGCTGATATCTTTTGCCATGTTGTATGTTGGTGTACCTATGCTGTCTACTATTGGTCTAAGTGGTGTTTTGTTTATGTATTTTTGGTGTTCCATATATTCTTGGTGTTATGTTTGCTGTGGGAATCCAGTGTTTGTACATTTTTTCTGTTATTTTGTCTTTTTCGTGCAGTGGCTTCAGTAATTTTTTCATGTTTTTCTTAATGTTTTCTGTTGGATCTTTTTTAAGTATTTCATATGTATTTTTGTCCTCTAGCATCTGTTTCATCTGTTGTTTATATTTTTCTCTGTCCATAACTACTGTGGTTCTTCCTTTATCTGCCGGTAGAATAATTATCTGTTCATTTTTGGATAAAGCTGATTGTTCTTCTTTTGTAATATTGCTGTGTTGAATTTGGCTGTTTTTTAATATCCCAACTACGTTATTTCTGAGTTCTGCTTTCTTTCCCTCATCTGTGATCTGTTGACATGCTAGTTCTGTTGCTACAATAAATTCATCACATGGTATTTCTTTTGGTGTGACTGCAAAGTTTAAACCTTTCTTTAATATGCTCTCTTCTGCTTCTGTTAGTTCGTATTGTGAGATGTTACATACCCATGAGTTTGGTGTGGAGTTGCCTTGTATTTCTCCCCTCTTTTTCTTGTTTATGAGTCTGTTTAACTTCTTTATGTGTCTTTCTTTCACTTTTACGAACTCTTTTTCCTGTTTTTCCATCATGTGTCCTTTAATTAGTTCCTCCATTTGTTTATCGAGTTTGTAATTCCTTTTCAAGTCCAGGTGTCCACTTTCCAGTTCGTCCTCCACACGCCTCCGTTTGGTTATGACGTTCCTTATCCTCTCCTTGAGCAGTGCTCTCTGTGCTCTATTATGTTCTGTGCTGTCTTGGACCGGATCGGTGTTTTCAGCTGTAGGCTTGTGGGTGTGATGTTCTCGTCCCGGCAGAAGCGAAGGTGGTTCCTTAGACGTTTCTGGTGTAATCGCTCCAAACGGCGGAAGTCCTTCGTTCCTTGGTGTCCGTATTTCTCTTTGAACATCTTGAGTGTGTTCTTGCTGTGTCGTTCTAGTTCCATGTTGTCGTTCTGTTTTTAACACACAGAAACAGCTCCGTCACCTGTTTTCTCGCTACGTTTCGTCTGCGGCCTCGTCAGGCTGACGCTGATGGTGGCGTATAAACGGAGAAGGACGTGTCGATAAAGGCCCTGCTTTTAACTGTTCTGTTTTCTTGTGAAAATTGTTGCAAAGAGATAAAACTCAACTGGATTACCACCAGAGCCAGGCGCACTGCGCCGTTATCTCCGTCGCTGTAAATGAGGATCCTTTTCTGGCCTTCCCCACCTACAAAGTTTAATTAGAACAATGAAACGTGACAGAGCCTGGATTTGTATTCTGAACACTTTAAAGATGTTTTAAAAAGAAACGTGTGACAAAAGTGGCGCCTGCTCCGTAAAACCACCAACAGGGTGAAAAATATCTAAATACTGAAGGCAGAGACGGGCTACAACTTCTGGATCCATTTTATGCAAATGGTTTTATTGATTATCGTCTGTTGAAAGATAACTAGCAGACACCAGCGACTGGTATTGGCTGCTGACACCTGTTGTGATTGGTTAAAGCAGCTCTCTGCTGCGGCTCCCAGGGTTTTCTTTACTGTGGGAAACAGGTAATAATGGCTGTTTGATGGGAAAAGGCTGAAGACCCCTGGATTAGGTAGTTGTTATTATTTGTGTTTATTGCAGCAAGGTGGATGCGAAATAAAACAAAAAGAGTTGGGAAAAGAGAGCGAAGTAGAGGGGCCGTCACGGCTGAAGTATAGAAGATATTTAGTTCCTCCATCCCCAGAAATCTCACTCTGAACTTTTCTTTTAACTTGAGAGCTCTGTTCAAGCCCGTGAACACGTAGCTAGACTAGGCGTAGTAATAAAGTACTACTAGGCGTAGTAATAAAGTACTACTAGGCATAGTAATATAGTACTACTAGGCGTAGTAATAAAGTACTACTAGGCGTAGTAATATAGTACTACTAGGCATAGTAATATAGTCCTACTAGGCGTAGTAATAAAGTACTACTAGGCATAGTAATATAGTACTACTAGGCGTAGTAATATAGTCCTACTAGGCATAGTAATAAAGTACTACTAGGCATAGTAATATAGTACTACTAGGCGTAGTAATAAAGTACTACTAGGCATAGTAATAAAGTACTACTAGGCATAGTAATATAGTACTACTAGGCATAATAATATAGTCCTACTAGGCGTAGTAATAAAGTACTACTAGGCATAGTAATATAGTACTACTAGGCGTAGTAATATAGTCCTACTAGGCGTAGTAATAAAGTACTACTAGGCGTAGTAATATAGTACTACTAGGCGTAGTAATATAGTCCTACTAGGCATAGTAATAAAGTACTACTAGGCGTAGTAATAAAGTACTACTAGGCGTAGTAATATAGTACTACTAGGCATAGTAATATAGTCCTACTAGGCACAGTAATATAGTACTACTAGGCGTAGTAATATAGTACTACTAGGCGTAGTAATATAGTACTACTAGGCACAGTAATAAAGTACTACTAGGCGTAGTAATATAGTCCTACTAGGCGTAGTAATATAGTCCTACTAGGCGTAGTAATATAGTACTACTAGGCGTAGTAATATAGTCCTACTAGGCATAGTAATATAGTCCTACTAGGCACAGTAATATAGTCCTACTAGGCACAGTAATATAGTACTACTAGGCATAGTAATATAGTACTACTAGGCACAGTAATATAGTACTACTAGGCATAGTAATATAGTACTACTAGGCATAGTAATATAGTACTACTAGGCATAGTAATATAGTCCTACTAGGCATAGTAATATAGTACTACTAGGCATAGTAATATAGTACTACTAGGCACAGTAATATAGTACTACTAGGCGTAGTAATATAGTCCTACTAGGCATAGTAATATAGTCCTACTAGGCATAGTAATATAGTCCTACTAGGCATAGTAATATAGTCCTACTAGGCATAGTAATATAGTCCTACTAGGCATAGTAATATAGTACTACTAGGCATAGTAATATAGTACTACTAGGCATAGTAATATAGTACTACTAGGCATAGTAATATAGTACTACTAGGCATAGTAATATAGTACTACTAGGCGTAGTAATAAAGTACTACTAGGCATAGTAATATAGTACTACTAGGCATAGTAATAAAGTACTACTAGGCATAGTAATATAGTACTACTAGGCATAGTAATATAGTACTACTAGGCATAGTAATATAGTACTACTAGGCATAGTAATAAATTCCTACTAGGCATAGTAATATAGTCCTACTAGGCATAGTAATATAGTACTACTAGGCATAGTAATATAGTCCTACTAGGCATAGTAATATAGTACTACTAGGCATAGTAATATAGTACTACTAGGCACAGTAATATAGTACTACTAGGCGTAGTAATATAGTCCTACTAGGCATAGTAATATAGTCCTACTAGGCATAGTAATATAGTCCTACTAGGCATAGTAATATAGTCCTACTAGGCATAGTAATATAGTCCTACTAGGCATAGTAATATAGTACTACTAGGCATAGTAATATAGTACTACTAGGCATAGTAATATAGTACTACTAGGCATAGTAATATAGTACTACTAGGCATAGTAATATAGTACTACTAGGCGTAGTAATAAAGTACTACTAGGCATAGTAATATAGTACTACTAGGCATAGTAATAAAGTACTACTAGGCATAGTAATATAGTACTACTAGGCATAGTAATATAGTACTACTAGGCATAGTAATATAGTACTACTAGGCATAGTAATAAATTCCTACTAGGCATAGTAATATAGTCCTACTAGGCATAGTAATATAGTACTACTAGGCATAGTAATATAGTACTACTAGGCATAGTAATATAGTACTACTAGGCATAGTAATAAATTCCTACTAGGCATAGTAATATAGTCCTACTAGGCATAGTAATATAGTACTACTAGGCATAGTAATATAGTCCTACTAGGCATAGTAATATAGTACTACTAGGCATAGTAATATAGTACTACTAGGCACAGTAATATAGTACTACTAGGCGTAGTAATATAGTCCTACTAGGCATAGTAATATAGTCCTACTAGGCATAGTAATATAGTCCTACTAGGCATAGTAATATAGTCCTACTAGGCATAGTAATATAGTCCTACTAGGCATAGTAATATAGTACTACTAGGCATAGTAATATAGTACTACTAGGCATAGTAATATAGTACTACTAGGCATAGTAATATAGTACTACTAGGCATAGTAATATAGTACTACTAGGCGTAGTAATAAAGTACTACTAGGCATAGTAATATAGTACTACTAGGCATAGTAATAAAGTACTACTAGGCATAGTAATATAGTACTACTAGGCATAGTAATATAGTACTACTAGGCATAGTAATATAGTACTACTAGGCATAGTAATAAATTCCTACTAGGCATAGTAATATAGTCCTACTAGGCATAGTAATATAGTACTACTAGGCATAGTAATATAGTCCTACTAGGCATAGTAATATAGTACTACTATACCAACACTAACGGTATAAATAGCACTGTTGGTGAACTTACCCGCCTAAAAAAAAGAAATGAGTAAAGAAAGGTTAGAAAGGCTCTGAACATGAACTTACTTAAGCTAACGCTAGCTGCTTAGCTGAAGCCACAGCGCTCACTGATTGGTTGATTCTGTTCCCTACCCTCGACCCCTCCTTCTCCCACTCTGCTCTCGTCTCTAACTGATTCCGCCGAGTTATGTTACAGGACACACACACACACACACACACACACACACACACACACACACACACACACACACACACACACAGACACACACAGACACACACACACACACACACACACCAGACTGTAGAAACAGAACCAGTGCACTGGCCTTCACACCCATGAGCCTGTCTAAAAGCAGCATGAGTGTTACGGACTGAACGACCACGTTGTGACTAGAACTAGCTCTTATCTGGACGACCTGGAGATGTAAAAGCAGGACGTCCAGGTAATCAATGACCTCTGCGTCTTCAGGGGACCAAACCTGGACGTGCAGAAGAGGCGTGGACAGATGTGGGACGATGGGTGGGTCCATGAAGGCTAGTTTCTATTTGACTCTATTTGTCTGTTAGCAGCTAATGCAGGAGGCAGGGGAAGGAGGCTAGTTTCTCCGTTAGCATGCACCGAGTGGGTCAGGGTCAGAGTGGCTGAGTTTTTAACTACCAGTGGACCTGGTCAGGGCAGAAGGCTGATGGAGACTTTAGATGTTCCTGTCTGATGCACCTTTCGTTAAACACAAGACATAAGAGCAACCTACAGACTGGTGTCTTTCTTCTTCTCCTGCTCCTCAACAATGGCTTCCTGTGCAGAAACACACGAGTCATGTCATCTCGTTAGATCACAGCGTAAGGATTGGAGATAAATCCTGGTTGGCGCGTGGCTCTGACCCTGATGTTGTTGACAATAGCAGCTCCCTTGCACTCTGCAGCCTCTGGGTTTCCTATCAGGTAATCCCAGGCACAGAAGACTCTCCAGCAGAAGGTGAAGTTCTCATCAGAAGCACTGGCCAGACTCAGACGAGAGTTCTTCGCCATTCTGCAGGACACAGACAGTGTTGGCTGAAAGCTTGGCGTAGCCTGCACACCATCAGGACTGCCTAACAGACGCTGTAGGAAATCAAGAGTTTACTTTCGTAACAGAATGATGAAACTGTAGGCAAAGACGGCCATCCCCACAAGGAAGTACGCCAGAGGTAGCCGGTACCCTGCGCCGCCAATCTTCCTGACGCGACCGTAGTAGCCGTAAAACAGAACGGAGTACTGCAGGTAGCCCTGAGGAGAGTCACAGCCCACAGCAGAGCAGTCAGAGCCATCACATACATCCTGTTTAAGCCTAGATGACATGCAGAGGACAGGATACAGGAACATCTAAATAAAGCTCTGCTGGGCTGCACGGTAATGTGTTATTGATCCAACAGTAAAACGACTAGGGAGCTTACCCCGAGGGACCAGATGGTGTCCAAGTCCTGGGCCGATGCTAGGTGCTCTTTGGGGATGGTTTTGCTTCTCGTTGTTCCAAAGGGAGCTCCAGCCAGCAGCTGCAGACAGGACATGAGCGTCATCCCACTTTATCAACAAGTCTATTTATAGATCAGCTGTTTACTGGGATGGAGCCATATCATCAAGCTGTGGTCCTCTTTATGAGCATGCTAGAACAACCACACTAACGTCACCAACTCCACCCAGGACCTACCAGGTTGTAGAGCGGGTTAGGGTTAGATCTACCACAGTCAGTTACTGATAAAGCCTTCGACAGCACCATGAGGCCACGGAAAGCAGACGGGTGCAGCTTGTTTCTTTGAAGGTGATCAACAGGTGTTACTTCTGCCAGATGTGTCCAAACGATTATAAAGTGTTGCTTCCCTGGCACCAGCACCCAGTTTAATCCCGTATCCAATATCAAAGGCTCAAAATCATTAATGCTCCACATTTTTGTGGATTATTACATTTTATTGAATACATTTATATTCTAGTAAGAATTTATTTAAAGTAAGCACTTGAAAAACTTTACACAACCATGCTCTGATGCATTTGTTAGTTTCTGATTCCTGCACCAGGAACGCATCAGCTGTGACGCGGGTCGCTGACCAAGTACACCTGTGTGTGTGTGTGTGTGTGTGTGAGTGTGTGTGTGTGTGTGTGTGTGTGTGTGTGTGTGTGTGTGTGTGTGTGTGTGTGTGTGTGTGTGTGTGTGTGTGTGTGTGTGTGTGTGTGTGTGTGTGTGTGTGTGTGTGTGTGTGTGTGTGTGTGTGTGTGTGTACAAGCTTGCAATATAAAGCAGGACAACACCTGTCCCCCTCCAGCTCGGCCGTGTGACCCTCATGTCCATGCTGTATCTGGAGGAGCAGATAGGAGACGAGACCTCCTGTAACTTCCTCCCAGTTTCTCTTTCAGCTGAATTTAACATCAGTTTATATCATGAAACAAAAGAATAAAGTGGAACAAGAACTTCTATCTTCTATTTCTCTCTCCTTGTAACTTCTCTGTGTCCCTAAATAAAAGAGACAGACGATTACGCTGCAGCCGCCGTCATTGACCCCGCCCCCTCCCCAAGACCGGACCTCCCGACGTCACAGCACTTGGTCTGACTGAGCGCTTCCAGGAGAAACAATAATTAAATTATGAAAATAATAACACATGTTTGGAGGAGCGTCCTCCGATCCTCCCCTCTCCCCCCCCCCCCTCTCTCTCTCTCTCTCTCTCTCTCTCTCTCTCTGTCACTGATCGAGCGAGCGGAGCGCGCCGCGCCACAACCCGCCCAATTAACATAATTTATGTCCCAACTCCAACAGAACCAGTCGGCTGATTCGATTCGGGTTCGGTCTCAGGTTACAACTCCAGCGCTCAGCCCTGCAGAACCACATAAAGGCGGACCAAAGTTTCCTACCCGGTAAATGTGGAGAACACCGCTCTGACAGGTCCGGATGCTGCGCTGGTGCTGCTGTTAAAATAACACAACTTCACTCCACTATAACTGATTATGGTACTCTTCTATGATGCAGAACCGTTCATGCCCCACATCTCATGCATTGATTATTTGATTGTTTTCCTCAGCTCTATCCTAAACCTCCCGGTCGGCCGTCAGGGGAGCTCGCGGGGGTTGGGGGTCACAAAGAGAGGGCTCGAGGCCGGACGTGGCCCACGGGGCGCCAATTGAGGACCATTGCGTAAGTTACCAAGGGTGCAAAATAGAAGTGCTATTTGTGGCCAAGGCCGGATTATAATATGGGCAAACTGGCACAGGTCCAGGGGCCCAAAGCCACAAGGGGGCCCACACGAGCAGCAGTCTTTTTTTTTGTGCAGCAGTCTTTACGTTGGAGAAAAAAGTTGACAAGTAATTAAAACGAGTGAATTAGTCTTTAGGTAATGAACAGCGGAGACATGGCCTGAGGACGGCGGAGAAGCGGCCAATCACTGGGTACCGTGGTTTGGAGCTGATGAGCAGTTTTGTTTTTACACCAAAATGGCGCCAGAGAAAGGCCCAGCTACTGAAGGGTTGGAGGACATTAGGAAGGCCATGGAGTCACTCTCACAGGACGTTTCAGCCATTAAAACCAAACAAGACAAGATCCTCAAACTTGATGAGGAAGTAGCACAGCTACGGGTTCTCTTGGAAGATAAAGATAAAACTTGGAGCAACATTCCAGCATGATTGATGTGGTTGTGACCGGGCTGAAGGTTAGACCTCGCTCATAGGCTCGTGTGGTGTCTGTGGTCAGTGAGGAAGAGCCAGGAGAGATGCAATAATTAATAAAGTCAAATATTCCTTAGATTATAAGGCACTGCACTTACCGTACTGTTCATTAGTGCGGCGCTACTTAACGTACGGTAGAGAGATTTGGGGCAATAACTATAAAAGTTCACTCTAACCTCTCTTCCTTCTCCAGAAACGGGCTGTAAGGGTCATACAGGAAGTACTTTTATTTCAGCCGCTTGTATCCGCCATCTTGTTCTTTTGGTCATCACCCAAAGCTCATGACCATAGGTGAGGACTGGGACGTAGATGGGATGGTAAATTGAGAGTCTTGCTTTCAGGCTTAGCTCCTTCTTCAACACAGGAGACCGGTTTAGCGTCCTCATCTCTCCAGATGCTGAACCAATCCGCCTGTCGACCTCCCCGCTCCCTCCGTCCCTCACTCGTGAACAAGATACTTGAACTCCTCCACTTGAGGCAGGACCCCTCTCCCGACCCGGAGTTGGAATACCTCCCTTTTCTGGTGGAGAACCATGGTCACAGACTTGGAGATGCTGATCCTCATCCCAGCCACTTCACACTCAGCTGCGAACCTCCGCAGCAAGAGCTGTAGGTCAGAGCCTGATGAAGCTAGGAGGACCACATCATCCGCATGAAGCAGAGATGAGCTGAACTCAAACATATAAAAATGTGTCTACATACACAAAAGACCCATGACTCTCAAATAAATCAGGTGTGGCACATCAAGGGGCTGATTAGACAGCATGAATAATGTACAGGTGTGCCTTAGACTGCCCACAATAAAAGGACACCTGACATGTACAGGTTGATCAGACAGCACAATGCCACAGATGTAGCAATCTTCCAGGGAGTGTGCAATTGGCTGCTGACTGCAGGAATGTCTACCATGGCTCTACCAGTCTCGTCTGCTGTAAAGTCTCATTATGAAACACATCAGCCATGGGAAAAAGCTGTTATGAAATAAAAGTGGACTTTGAGAAAAAGACGTTATGTATTAAAAACGGTCAGACTACCATCTTCTATGCAAGATGTTGGTTAATGCAACGCTGGATGGAGATGAATCTGGTGAAACTGCAGAAGCTCATCGAAACAACGCCACAGCGAGTGTGTGTTGTAATCACAGCTAAAGGTGGTCCTGCACAATATGTGACCTTTTTACTTAGTTATCTTGTTGACGGACTACAGATGCAAATTAGCAACTACGCTATAATCTGGCCCATTTACGATCAATACAATAGATTTGATTGTTTATTAATGTGCATTGTCGTGAATAAAGAATTGAAATTGAAATTGTTTTGGTGGTGAAATTTTTGGGGGCCGGGCGGTGTATGTGATCCAGAAGGACCTAAGAACATTTAGATTAATGAAGCAGGAAGTGTGTGCGTTTTCTAGGCTGGACTGTTCATTTGTGTAAGTACATTTACTTTGATGAGGACTTGTGTTAAAGATTCATTATTTGGAAACTGCACTTTGTATTTTTCAGGTACTTATGTCTCATGTTAAATGTGTTTGCTGATCTAGGAAACATTTCTTGAGCTGAAAAAGGAAAATGACCAGAGTGAGTTCCTCCAAAAGACTGTGGTGCAGGAAGAAGGAAGGACTGAGATGAGACAGTGGGCCGGTGGGGTAAGTAATGTCTGAGGAAATTGCTTGTGTCTGCATGTCACTGACAAGGATAAATCCAGCAGACCCCCCCCCCCCCCCCACACACACACACACACACAGCTCTTGTCAGCAGGTTGTGCTCGGGCTTTCCAAGGATCTGCAGATCTGTGCAGAAATGTAATATAAGAGATTTATGCAGTGCAGAATTGTATCCTGAGCAACTTCAGCACTGATATATGTTTGCACTCCAGCAATAATTAAACCCACAGCTTCACTTTTACTGTTGAGTTAGTTGGGGTTAGGGTCTTCGTGTTTTTAACAGAACGAGCCAGCTCAAAGAGAAAACGGGACGTTTTTACCATTATTCTCTGGAAATATCCATAAATATGTCGTTGAAAATGAGTTAGAGGTATAGCGAGGATATTTCTGAACTTCAGGAAATAACCACCTGCTCCTCGTTTGGAAAATAAATGCACATGAGAAGGAACGCCCAGTTCTTCTCGTTACAAGTAGCTGCTGGCCTTGCAGCCAACTTCTTCTTCTAGCAGTTTCTCCAAATAGTACGCTGAACTTTAGCTTAGCTGTCGAGCAGAAAACCAGCGACAGAGCTGGGGGGACCCCAACCTTCGCTTTGCGCATGCGCAGGAAGTGAAAACTACCCAGCAACATACGACGACGGCCTCACGTGAATGGTTCACCAAAAGAGAATGGTTGGCAATTAAGCGGATCAGTGGTTCAGATGATCCGCCCAGAAGAAAAGTATCCTTTGCTACACCTTCAGATGATGCCAACTGTTAGAAAATGTTGGCGGCTTTAGAAGATATCAACATAAAAACTGGGTCTAAAATACATGAGATTGGGTAATCATAATACATTCATTCATCGTTTAAATTATTGCAAAATATCATAAGACTGAGGGTAAATAAAACAAATTTTGATTTAAAATTATACGGAAAGGGAAAATGATAAGGAAATCAGCGGATCCTGGCGGAATCAGAGCAGAACAAGGAAAAGGAGGTGAGGAAGGTTCCACCAAAGCCTGAACAGGTGAGTTTAAAGGAGACCACTGAGTCCACTGGTCTCAGGCTCAGGGGGAGAGAGGTCCAGAGTCTGGGGGCCACAGCAGCAGATGATCTGTCACCTTTGACCTTTAGCCTGGTGCTGCACAACCAGTAGGCTTTGATCACTGGACCTCAGGGACCTGCTGGGGGTGTAGGG